ACCAATGCAAAGTCCCAAGCAGATCGGTTTTCTTTGCCATGCGTTGACAAATGCCAAAGACACCGTTGAATTTCAGATGCCGCGGGCAAATTTGAAGGGCTCGTAACAGTTTTGCGCAATTTTATTTGGCTAGCCAGTGGCGGTACCGATACATCGCTTGCCTGCGTTCGATGGTTTCATTTTTTTTTTTAAAAGAATTGTTTCGCTTTTCGTTGCGTCCAAATGTTGCAGCGCGTACATAAGCCAGAAAAGTCGTTGAAACGTTATCGGTTATTCCAACGAATCGTCAGAGATATTTTTTCCCCAATTACGTCACGGCTAACGAAACGTGCAACTATGTAAAGCAGATTGTTACACGTAGCGAATAATTTTTAACCCAAATGTATAGTTTCGTCGAAAGGGTCGTTCGATCGGCTGGCTTTCGGCAAACATCGATGCCCAGTTACATCCTCGTTTACGATAAATAATTTATTATGTAAACGAACAAGCCTGTTACCTGGATACCTACCTGTGTACTATCGAGGAGACTTTGCTCGGACAATTATCTTAGATAAACATTTGCCGTAAATTATTCGAATAATGGCGAGCACCGAAGCCACTCGTAACGTCGTCATTAAAAGCAACGAGCTAAAAGAACCAGGGTAGGATGCGCGGCCGTGTACCGGCACATAGGAACGATCCATTTAGATAATCTATACACACATACGTGCACGTTGCAGCGTGCATGGGGCCTGTGCCAACAGCTTGCAGCGATCGTTCTAGTTTTTTTTTTCAACTTTTTTTTTTTGTTTCTCTTTTTTCTTGCTTTTCCATTCGTTCTCCTCTTTCCGCGCCCTCTGTCGTTGATTCCGTAACTACAGTTTCAAAAGGGGAGTCGTACCTTTTTTCCGCGCATGCTTTAAATATATTTCAATAAAAATGGCTCCGAGAGTGTTTTCACGATTCACTCGCCGCGGAACAGCCAGGAATTCGTTCGCTTTGTAAATTACATTCGATCCGAACTACCTCTCTACCTCCTCGCCATTACACAGCCTCCCTCTCTCTCACACGCTCTTTCTCTTTCTCTTGCTTCGCAATTGGTGAATTCGCGGCCGATCGCGGTTAAGCAAATTTGTCGTGAAACGAATTAACCAGTAATTACACCGAAATATTCCTAAATAGCGACGGCTGTTTCGATGCATCGCCTATTGTCACATTTCATTCGCCAAATTAGATCTGCCCTTCGCTTTTTTCTCTAACTTTTTCTCTTCTTCTTCTTCTTTTTCGTATAACGCGTTTTATCGTTTCGGTAAGCGGTTCGACGCTGCGTCAAAAAGTTTTACTTTTCGTTGCGAAACAAACGGGCCTCAAACACGATTGTTTCTTTACGTAGCAGATCTCTTGGAAAATCATGGAATACGGCGGATTAAGTAGCGCGTGTTCGCCTGCAATTTGTTTGCCGCTGATCATCAGATTATTCGCATGGTGCTGCGGGCAATTAGTGGATCGTTTACGCGAATCACTCGTTCCTGCCTCTTAGCGTTATCGATCCTCGAAAAATCGATAATAGAAAGCAAACACGCACAACGGGCAAATGTAAGAAATATTTTAAACACCGTAATTTAATCCGTTACTTATCTATCTCTGTTCTCGACTTTATAAAAATTACGTAGCGTCTTCCGTTAGCGAGTTATGATTCGCAAAATCAGTACTTGATACAAAATTATTTTCAGTTTCAATACATAAAAAACAAAATAAAACTCACTATATTATTTTTTTAATTATCTTGCGAAAGTCATCATCACATCGTTGGAGGAAAAAGTATAACACGAAGTAGGAATTTTAAAATAAAATTGTAAAACCAGTCGATTCGACCGGTGTGGTAGTTCTATTGTTTAACAAAAAGTAGAAAGATATTAGGAGCGTAACCAGTTCAAGCGAACTGGCAGGTCGTTGGTAAGGGTTGCTGCCGGTCGTTCGTCCTAGGTCAAAGACTAGGTTAAGTTAGGTGCGATCTCTTATCGGCAGCGAGAAGTAGCGAGTCTACCCACGTTCCTCTTATCTTTCTCGTTTGCCGGTACCCTCCTCTGTTAAACTTACAACCCGACCCACACATACGTGCGATACATATTGTCGTTCGGATGTAAGAACCCGCCAACCGAGTTGCGTTCACCTATACGAACGACCAACCATCGGCTGCCGCCATATATGGCCTCGATGACGAGGTTCACTCGTTTTTTCGCGCCAGTTCTGCCACCGAATCGTTCTCGTCCTCGTTGACTTTTACGACTTTTCGGGGACCATTCTGCCAAATCGTTCGCCGAGAAACGCCGTTAAGGGAGTTGCGTAAAGACACTGCTTTATTATATAAAAATAACCTCGCGACGTAGCCATTACCGTCCACTCTTCGTCACGACGAATGGTCATTGGCGAATTTAAATTTGGACAAATTTAATCTATGTCACGTAGAAAGCGATTGGTCGGAGGACGATACCATTAATTTGTAGCGGAAGAAGATGAAAATGGAAGTGACGTAGAAGGCGTATGGAAGCAGAGCCAAGAGAACGAAGGAAGACGATGGGAACGAACTGAGCGCAGAATGCTTGGTTTGCGAGATTCTGCGATGTCCAATTTCTAAGATTTAAGAAAATTCGAGACGCGACGATTTATACCGTTACGAACGGTCGTTGCTCGGTTTTTAACTCTATGATCTAAGGAACAGTGGAAAGAAGGTAGGGTTTATCAGGACGACAATGACCAATGGTTGGAATGCAATTACAGCAAGTGAGAGTTCCATTCCACGATCGAGATAACGGGCAAAGTAAACGGTTATTTTCAGCGTGGTGGACGCTGCTCTGGCTGCCTTTCGATCCCGGAATTCGAGGATTTATGACCACGCTCGTTAATCTATCCCGCTCTCTAAACTTCTGACGAGCTTTCGTCGCTACTGTAAACAGAATTAAGAGCGAGTAAAGTTTCCCTCTCCTATCTGCTGGCAAAAAGAATATCCACCGTTACCGGGTCGCTTCGTTAAACAAACTGCCGAGCGGAAGGCCATTCCCGCTTTTTCCAGACCAACCGTGCAAAAGAGGAAGGAAGATACGGGAAGAGGGGGCGTGGCGTGTAGGTGAGCAGTGAGAATGTGCACGATCTCTGAACCAGGATCCGGTTTCTTTACCACTTCGAAAAACTCAGTCAGCTGGACGAGCCGAGAAGCGAAAGTTTTCGAACTCGATGCGTCGGAGTGGCGTAGAGGCAACGAACGAGATTGAAATACCCTCGTTTCTGCCTCCTTCTCGATCCCCAAACCGAGCTTCTATTCCTCTTCTTCGTCCTCCTCTTCTCTAGCTTCTCCTTTTTCTTTCCTTCCATCTTTCCTTCCATCTCTCAGTTTTCTTTCGTTCCGCCGCTGCTCGCGACGCTTTTATTCCCCTTTTCCCTTCTTCGTACACAGGGTGCCACGTTCGATTTGTAATTCAGCGAGTTTGAGAGGACTGGCATGCGGGATGTAGAGTTGACGTTGCGCTCAAAAAGTACCGTAGATAAAGTTTGAATGCGAAAGTTACGGGGACGGGGGGTCGCGCTTATACAGGCGGCGGCGAAGGTCGTGGAGGACTGGGTGGAGCGTTGGAGAGGGTGGCAAAGGAAGGAGATATAAAACCGGCGCACACGATGGGGATCTGGCTCCGATAGGGAGCTGTAAGTACGTTAACTTTGCCGTTTATGTTCGACGAACGAGAAACACCGAAGATTCGAGTGAGAAAAGTCAGCTGGAACACCTCGCGCGCCCTCCACTCATCCCCTCCAACGCCGATTCTTTACGATTTTCTTCGGCCACAGTCTGCCACGTGAATTTCGCTTGTTACGCCAGAGATACCGTGCGTTTGACGGGTTTCAGATCCCGTTAAAATATATAATAGTTTCGTATTAGTTCCTCTCGTGTTTTTTCGTTGTCGGTGACACAGAATTAACGCTTCAACTTCTGTCGACACGCAAATTGCGTTTCTCTAATTATTTTAACACCGTTGCTGACCTAATTTTTACGCTTTCTCGATCAATCTCAAAATTCGACTAATCTCAAAATACGACGACAGTCGCCTGATATAGTCGCTCGTCGATCTCAACTGATTCACCTAAATACAAAGATATTAATAAACGAAAATGTATCGATCTTAGAAAGCGTCGATTAATTCTTAACGGGAACGAAACCGTTACACTGAATTTCTCGTTTGCCAGATAACCGCTACATTCGATTAATATACCATCGATGAATGTACCATCGACGAGTTCCTTCCGACCGAGCCTAATATTCGAAAACGTCCATCACGTATAGCGGCCCGGAATGAAACTAACGCGCCTCGCTTTCTGCTTCCCCTTCGAACACCATCCTTCTTTTCACCGGCTGTCAGCTGTCAAAACGAAAATTCCTCGGCTCGAAACTAACGGAAGATTCGCGACCGTGTCATAAACCCAAGCAAACGCGAGCAGTAGACCATCTTCTGTGTCATAAATCCGTTAATATTCCTTCTGCAGTTGTTCGTTATTATTTTCGTCATTTTTCTCGGCAGGAACTCGCGTAAGAGAATCTCAAGATTCATCGTTGCCCCGCCGTTTCACCTTGCCGACGAATTGCAGGGAATTTTCGTTGTAGCCAGGAGGATGTAGAGAAGCGATCCGGTTCCAGCCGGAAGCAGTCGGTGTTAATTATTAAAAAAATGAAACTCATTAAAATGCGGGAGCGCATCAGCTTACGAGCGAGCATCCATTGGGTACGTTTCGCTCGAGCGGTTGCCACGGTCGGCCAAGTTTCGCGGTAATTTTCGAATATTTCTGAAAATTAATCCAGCTATCACGTTACAAGGGAGGGAGAGAAAAGGCCTCGACCATAGACTTCGAAAGATCTCGCTGGATTTTCGTCCCCCGCGGAATCCGTTTTCCGCAGAACAATTTATTTTCACAGTTTTATCTGCACGCAATACACTGTTCGTAAAGTAACGAGGCAATGTTTTTCTTTGTTTCAGGACTGCGACAACGGTCTGGCCCCACTGACACACCGAGGAGCGGTGGTGAGTTTGTTTAGTCGTTTACGAGCCGTCGACAACTCCGTCGATGTTCGTTGGTACCGTGGACTTTCGTATAAGACGGTCTTTTATAACGCGATAGAACGGGCTTGAAACATTCTTTTCTTCTTCTTCTTTTCTTCGGATGCGATACACGTATTTCTTGCTTACACACGTACAGGAAAACTAACAGTTATAAAATATGCAAAGATTTACAGCTGAACCGGTACAATCCATGTGGTTTGCGTAACTCAGATTTCTAGCATGCGGTAGAACGTATGTCCCACGTTGTACTTACACTGTTTTACCGCATCTTCCTTTCGTTTCGCAAACGTTTCGAAAGAGCGACGAAAGATATTCGTAAAAACGTGGCAATTTGATACGTTGATTTAGGGAAGATCGGACGGCAAAGAAGACAAGGCGGCCGAATAATTCGATCGACCGTAAACGAGTGATCAGAATTAAATTCGAAACGGAAAATTGGAACGGAGCGTACCTTTAAACGAATACGTAGCGCGTTGGAAGAGCCGCGGGCCGGTTCAAGCGTTAATTTTTCGAGTAATGGCAACTTGGCCGTTCGCGTTCGTTTCGCGCCGCTCATTAGCGTAATTGACGTAAGCCTCTCGATTAACGAGGGTATTTTGTAATTGCGCCGGCCATGGAAAGATGAACGGACCGGCGATAAATTTTCGGCGAGAGTGGCAGCGAAATAAAGATGTTAAAGCACGACTGTCAGCCTCGTAAATCGTTGACTCGTTTCACTTCACCCCGCGCCGATACTTTTAACCCGCGTGATACGCGCACTCTGTTGCAGCTGGATAACGAAATTTCCGTGGTTTACGATTTCCTAAATTCGAAAATTCTCATTTCCTCGTGCTACCGTGCCAGCCTCGATTCCAGCAACGTAACGTCGACGCGTACTATCGTAGATCCACGTGCTTGACGGACGCGAGAGAAATTCTCGCACAAATTCCAGATATCGTCCCGGTCTATCGCACCCATGTATCCGGAAGATGAAAACGAAAGGAAGACGAGACGATGATTTTTTATACGCGTCGTCGGGCGGAAAGTTTCCCGTCGTATGCGCACACATGTTACGAGATTCCAGCGTTATGTCCTTTCCGGACCATAGTTACGTATACAATGTAGGTCGCGTACAATACAGCGTAGTTTTTGACGTTAACCACGTTACGCGGATTCGGTTCTATTGCTGGTTCCAACGAAACGAAAAAAGAAAAAGCGAAAAAAGAGAGAAGAATGTTTGAAAATCGAACAACTTGACCGCTTTGTACCGAGAATATTACAAAACGATTTTCCCATCGCGCGATATTTGGTTAATCAAAGCGACTTTAATCGATCGTTAACGAGTATTACGCGTTTCAACGAACAAACTTTCTCGCAAGCTTTCGGTGAAAGTGGAAAAATGAATAATCAGCCCGGCTGGAAAGAAGATCCTCCCCGATGTTTCGTATCGAAGCCCTCGGAGGAGGACGTTGAAAATATATTTTATCGTAGAAACTGAAATATTTTTTGATCATCGTTAAACCCGATCGCGCCATCAAACGTTTCGGTTCGTTTTCCCTGGGCACATTTTCGCCAGAAACGGATTAAGAAGTAACGTATTCCGTTAGGCGCAGTTCCGGTAAAGTCCTTTTCCCCTGACCGCCGATACCCGGTGGCTTTCGTCAAAAGCTTCGCCGGGGCTGAAGCACGCGCGCACCACACTTTCGACTTCGTCGTAAAAGTTAAATTGCCTCGGTTTTCGTGTCATCTGTGAATTTTTCACTTCTCTGTTCCACGCGAGCACCCTAAAGGACGCGCGTGCGCTTCGCCAAACCTTTTGGACGTCGAGTTTTAGCGTTGATTCCGATCCTCTTGAATCCGGCTCGTTCGAAAGGGATCGCCCTAATTGAACATTCGGTGTCTTCTGAGTGGAGGGTGGGTTGGAAGGAAAGGTTTATACGTTAAACGAACCGACGCAGTTCGATGGAAGAGGTTTAACGGGAAGACGGAACGAAAGTTCGATCGGATCCGTCGATGGTGAGCTTTGGAGTCCGGCCTCGATGAAAATCCACGTCCCGCCGTACAGCGAATCGCATGTGCCCATCCGACTCGTGCTCTTCACAGGTATACGTGTACGTACCACATACCTCGACGATCGATATTCGATCGCGATTTATATATACGCGTTTCGGTCCGGATTCTGGGTCGGCGTTTCTTCTTTTTTTTTTTTTTTGCGTTTACGGTCGATATAATCGCGGTTTGACCGCGTGGTTTTACCTATATCGGTGGTCGATATGAACGCGGTGGACCGGAGTATGAAAAATATTTGGGGAAAAACTGAAGGAACGGTGGCGGTGGATCGGTGGAAAACAGAAGCAATGCGGTGGAAATCGAACGAGAAAAAACGCGGGCTATGGCGGAATTCGAAACGAGAAAGGACGAAAGCGGGTAAGGATATAGAGCGCGCTGTAGCTACATATGCTTTATCCGAATTTGTAGCTCACGGTAAAACCGGGTAAAATGTTAGACTACGATCTGTCGTACGAATCAGCTTGGGTTTATTTATCGATACTGTGTAATTCTTCTCTTCCTTTGTCACCAAAGGAGATCTAACACACGCGAAAATTCTTTCAGACTCCGTACGTGAAACGAGACCCAACACGTACCGTGTGTTGTACGTTCTTTTTCTCTTTACCCGAACTTCTAAAAGAAGAAAGAAGAGCAACGAAATGAGAAATCGTTGGCCTTATTCGTAGTTTAAGAATCATTGATTCGAGTTGGAAACAGATTCCCGGGGATGCAATCCCGGGTCTATATAGGAACGCACGACACGGAACGAAGCTGATCAGCTCGCCATATCCAACCGGTAATTAACCCTCGAATGATATTCGTGCTGGAAAGGAAAGTTTAAATTGTCTGCGCGCACGTACGGGACAGTTCCATCGGGGTCTTTTTCATCGTCGTATTTCAGACGTCGACGACGAGAGCTTTTATCTTGGAAACGTATGCAGCAGTTATGCGAATTTCACGCGAGCATAGACGAAACGGAAATGGAAACTCCGTTCGTAGGACGCAGACAAAACGATCCATCGAGGATCAGACGACAGAGAGGAGAGGATGCGCATACTGTGGCGAGACAAGACGGCGAGATGGTTAACGTTTGAATTTGATGCTCGTATCTAATTCTGTTTAGCGGAGTGATCGAGATACGTGGACGCGGTGCATCGTGTAGGAAAGTTTAAATTATCCTGTCCGCCGAGAGGAAGCATCCGCTTCTCCGGGGAAACGACTACGGTTGGCCGAGTCTGATTAGTTCGCCGGTCCCTGCTTCGTTTTATCCTCTCCTCCATCGGTTTAGTAACTACTGTGCGCGGCTATGGACCAGAATCGAGTAGGTAAGGTGTTGTAAGGTGCCTCTCCTTTTCGGCCAGGTTGGCCAGAAATTGCGAAAAGTGGAGGATCACCGTTGGTTCTGTTCTGAATTCCCTTTTCAATATCATTTCCCCGCTGCCTGGCTGCTTGTTTCCCTTTCCCTTCTCCCTTACAACCCTCCTCCAACTCTCTTTGTTACTACCCTCTCTCACTTTCAACTTGTTTTTAGTCTACCTGGTACTCTTCTATCGTCTTCTCCCTATTGGTTGGAATCGTCTGTTTAATCAGAGTTCTCTTGATGAACCGGTTGCGTCGGATGAACCGGAGATCTGTATCAATTTTCGTAATGAGTCCCTTCGAGGCACGAAGCTGCTTTATAGATATTGCGGGTAAATGGCCTGCGGGGACAATGCGTTCAGTTTAATTAATTCGACGCGCGAGACCGTGCACTCTGGCTGTCTTCGCCGCTGTACGACAAACGCGTAATAGCTTGCCTCTTTGTTCGACCGCGGAGCGGTCGTTCATTAATTCCCAACTTGCGACGTGACCGCAACTTTTTCATCCGATTTTTCCCTAACAGATCCATTGCACCGATATTTTTTCCTAATGCAGTTTGGCATCGCACAGGCCATTGGCCTTTCGCAGCGGATCGTAAGTAAGAGCATCGTTCCTCTAAATGGTCGTGGAACAGGACTTTGATCAGTTTTTCTATCGATCATCGAGCAAGATATATGTTTAGAAGATATCGACTAGGTTTCTCTGTGTCGAGGATGACTGGTACATTTGTTTATCTTTAAGTCAGTTCCAAGAATCAGTAGGGTTGGTTAGGGTCAGTCGATGTTCCAAACTGTAACGCTGTATCGAGTGCAAGGCACGACAGATTTAAAAGTTCTCTATGTAATCAAATTCAGGGCTCGAATAAAATTTTGATAGAAATAAGACGCGTACCTTGGTGAAATAGCGCACGGAATACTATAATCTGCGCTAATATCACACAAGGCAGACTATTATAAGGAATTAAAAAGCCAAATCGCCGTTAACGCAGCACCATCGTAGATGCATTCGCGTATCGTGCTTAAAGGACTGCGGTAAAATTGCATTCGCATTAAAACGCGTGCTGTAAAATGTCCGATCGGCTAGCAGCCGCCTGGCCAGCGCCTTTTAACGTCAGCTCGAAAAACCAGCCACGGCGAAATCGAGGGAAAAATAAACGAGACGAAACGGAACGAAATGAAAACGAATTTAACTATCCACGAGCCATTCGGTTGCACAGGCCAATGGCTAGTGGGGCTGGCCTGTAGGGACTCGTCTTTTTTCTACAATCGTCTCTGTAAAAGGGAGATAGAGATTAAAAATTCTGCGTTGCCATGAACCCATTACCTCTTGATACGTATTCGCAATTAACGTTTTACTCTTCGACTTCTCGTATCAGTTTCACCCCATGTTCGGAGGGAAAAGCTTTTGCTCTTCGTTTGACCGTTCGTTCGTAAACAAGAACGGCTGTCGCGCGATAAATCTCGTAGATTCGAAGAAAAAAGCGAGAGTTCGCTATTGGCATTCGAACGTTTCGACGTGTTTTACTTCGGACCGGCTCGCGGTATTTCGTTCCGCGGCTGTCGCCGGCGACTTGG